CTTTGGCAAGTGTAATGGCTCTCAAATGCTTTAATAGTGGCATGGTATGTAAAATATAAGTGTGAGTACTTTATCAGGCTATGTTACAGGCCTAAAATGTTATTCTTGAGAGATTTTGTACAAAATGTAGTATTATTTTTAATTCTGTGAAAGTGGGACAAAGGTACTGATTACGTGTTAGAAATTGGAATCCTTAGGAATCAAGCAGAATTTGATCAAACTTGACATGCAGTGTCTTTCTACTCTGGATTCTTCATCCAACACCTCTTCTGTTACTTTGAATGTGTTTGGACATAAGACATGCTAATAAATACTGTCTTCTGTGTGTGATCACATAAGACTCATTTGTTTTGGAAACCACAGAAGTTAGAAATGTGTATTTTTTTCTCTACATTTTTTTGTTGTCAGTCTTCTTTTGCAATATTTATGACTTTAAAAATGAAAACAAAATAATAAAATAAAGCAACAATTTCACACAGTTGTATGTCTGAGGAACTGGAGCATCAAAAATGTATTGTCAGCTTCATCATAAATTCTTAGTGTGAGCAGTGTTATAACTTTTTCTGTTATATTGCCTTTGTAAGCTTTCATTTGAACACTTGAAAGGAAAACAACATGTACTTTCAGCAGGTATTTTGTTCTCTTTTAGTACTGTGGAATATCTGACTCATGAGAATATAAAACTCAAATCATATTTACATTGAAACAAACAGATCTTGAATCTACTGGATAGCAGCTAAGCCAAGTTGGGATTTAAGAATTTACGTAATAAAATTTAGGTTTTACTTTAAATAACAAGATTAAAGTATTTGAGTAGAGCTCTAATGTTTGAGAGGAAACTGAGAATACAGAGTTGACTTTTAAAAATATTCTATGAATACAGAATTGGATGACACCTCTGGAATCATCATATTCTGCTCCTGCTCTTGCAGACAAGCAAAGTGCACCCTCAAAAATTGTGTAAGTTAAACTTGAAAATAAAAGAAAAATTCTGAAGGCAGTTTGTGGGTCTTGTTCTAGTAATGACTATATAAACATTCAGCCTTTAAGCCAAAATTAATCATTTCTAGTTTATGCCCGTTTATACATATGATAATGTTGTCAGTTAGTTAGAATAGCTTTTCTCTTCCGCTTTCATTTTAAAGAGAGAGACTGTTTCCTTCTCTGGCTTCATTTTAGCAGGCTATAAGGATTCTGGCTTAGCTTGCTGGGTTCCAGTTGTGCAGTAGGCTCTCCCTTCCCCTGGGTGTAGGTTTGGGCTTTCTTTGCTCTGTTGCAGTTGGAATTAATCTTCCTTGAATTGGCCAGCATTGCGCATAGTGTTTCAGGTAATGTCTCACTACTGCCTATATAGTATCTGTTGTAGCAGTAGTTACACTGGCATCTTATCTGTTACAGGATGACTAAATTGTCAGTCCTCTTCTGGTTTGAAAACTGCCTGCCTTTCTGCATCAACTGCAATCTGCTTTCTGTTCCAAGTCCCTATTTGCCCATTTTCCATCTAAGTCCACTCTTAATATATGATTTGTTTGTTGCTGGATCACTTGCTGGAATTGATGTGAGCCTTTCTGAAGCATGAGATGATGATCAGATTTTGAATTTATGCCATCAAACTAGCAAGATGACACAACAGTGATTTTTGCTTAAGTGAATGTTTTGCTGAATATTTATGTCTAGCTAGTTTTCTGACTGTCCTGAGCTTTAGGAGAAATGGCAGTGAGAGCAAGGAGTTGCCTTTTCTAAAATAGCTCATGTCCTGAGACAGGACATCAGAGAAACTCCTTCTGGGCCAGGTCACCTGTCCAGTTGCTCTAGCAAATGAGTCTGCTTGATTACAGAGGTAAGCAGGCATGGTAGTACTGCAACACTAAGCAGGTTACATTTCCTGCAGACCACATATAGTAGCAAGCATCAAGAGTGGAGGTGGAATGACATTTGCAGTAAAGCTAGAAATCCTCACTTATGCCAAGAGTGCAGTGTCTTGGCTCATGAGAAATGTCTGTAGTGGTGAAGAGCTATATGGGAAGTGTGGGAATATCACTGAAGGGAGATCATGTTCATAAAGACTTGCACTGAGTTCAGCTCATATTTAATGTGACAGGTAATTATTGTTAGTGTCCCTGTGCGAGAAAAGATTTGCCTTAGTCATGCTGCAGTTTGCCAGGCTGCCTTAATGCTGCTGTTGATTATTTAATAATGTCTTGTCTTACCCTGCTTTTTCCTTGTTTGTGAAGTTATTTAACAATTTTATGCATTGTTAGGACACTTTCATTTACTGTCCCTCAGCTGCCCCATGGCTGCGGAATGAGTATTTCTGCATTGAAGAGGGAGGTGGAGGAACCTTAGTGTGAGCCCAGGACTTGCACATAGGGATGCTGTTTCCCTGGCTGTGTCTTGAACAATATTTGTGAAAGGAAGGGGAAGATCAGCCACAGCCAACATGGGGTCAGATGTATCAGCATCTCCATCATTTGATGATTTCTATTTGTTTGAAGGTCAGTTGGTTCTTTCTTCTTTATAAGGGACACTCAGACCAACTGATTTAAGGGAAACCTTTCTGGTTGTAGACATGGATTTGAATCATTATGTGATATGCAAATGAAATGGAAGGTAATTTGCTGAGAGCCAAATGCATAGTTCTTGTCTACTTTCTCTGTGTTCTGTAGAGCTGAACTAGGATAGACAGAAGCAATTATTTATCAGAGTCACTAGGCCAAAAAATGGCCCTTATCATTAGCAGGCATTGTACTGATAGTCAACCATGTTTCTTGCTGTCTACTCTGTCTTCAGTGAACTCTTGTCAGCTGCTGGACGTGAGTTGAGTCATCTGGTAGGAAAGGCATGTGGCATATGGGCTGGAGAGGCTTGGTTCATGGAGAATGAGGTTGCTGGAAATGCTGTTTACAGCCCATGTGATGTGTTGTTATCTGCATGAGCTCTTTCTGTCCTTCAGACAACATTTGCATTTGTTGCTCTGCATTATTACTGTCCTGGAGCATTTCAGCCTTTCCAAGACTGTGACTCAGGAATCATCTGTCACCACTGCAGCAATCGTTTCCTTATTCTGATGGCTTTGCTGATGTATATTAGCCATCCTATGCACTGGGGTGCTTGTAGCTGTCTAGCATTGACCAAACCCATCGGGTTTTTTAAACAGACTGAAAGAATATGTAGTTAACAGCTATTCAGCATAAAAGGCAAAGGCAAAAACCAGCACACATGATAAACTGAGCACACAGATGCACAAACAGTAATAGCTGCTATCAGTGACAGTAACAAAGACCAGAATTCTTAAAACGTTGGTGATGGGCCACAAAAGGAACCTGTCAGGTGTGTCCTTGAAGAGAGTCGAGTAGGGCTTTGTAAACGGTGAGAAAGAAGTAAAGCAGATTGCTATGGATCTTAGAAGATAAAGGTTTTATTAGGTATTTCAGAGGACTGCAAGGATTCTGTAAGGATGTTTAGAGGAAGGATAAAAGGCAGGAAGGGGAGAGATCAGGGTGGACTGGGGAAGAAGCAGCATGAAAAAATGGAGAGGGAATAAAGGGCAGATTTCATGTAAGCAGGCTACTGGGCAGTGGTGCTTGTCAGGCCAAGCTCTGTCTGTGGTCACCACAGTGTCCTGTGCCTGTTCCTGGCTGTTCTCTGTGAGAGTGTGCACTCTGTTCTGTGTGTGCCTCTGTGACCCACTAGCAAATGTGATGCAGGACTAGGTGGTGAGAACAAGATGAGGTCTGCAGGAGACAGATGCTGGGAATACCACAGGTCTGCAGAAGCTACATACGGGAGAGATGTAGGTCAGATATGAACACTCACACAGCTCTCCCTGGTAGCTTGTGTGTGTGACCTGCTAGTGAACTTTAAACATGCAGAACCAGCAAGCAGGAGGAGGCTGAAATCTGAAGAGACCTGACATCAGAGCTGGAACCTGGATGAAAAGGCACAGCGTCTGGGCTTGGATTCTGAGCAGACGTAAGGTCTGCACTGGAGTCAGATGGATATGCGAATACGTGTCTGTGTATACAGACTTTAAGCCTGATTAGCCAGAGTGGAGAAACAGGATCCAGGCCAGTTGTGGTGTTCAAGTTTCATGTAAGTGCAGTTGGTGCTTATGTGAGTGCTTGCAAAGAAGATACTGTTGTCCTGCCTCTGTTGATACCTGCATGGCTGGTCATGTCTGTATTGTGTGTGTGCTGTGGGAAGTGCATGCTCAGTTACTTGTACCTTGCTACTGGCTGGATTTGAAAACAGGGAAGGGCAGGAGCCCGTCACCTAGCAGACTAAGAAGAATGCTGTGAATCTCAAACTCTGCAGGATTGACTACCCCTAACAAAGGAGAATTATGTTTATGTTGCCTTGCTATATAGACAGGGAACCCTTCTGCTGCATCACTCAAAGCTTCTCATCTTTGTGTCATGTTATGAACCAGCTTTGGTGATGGATTATCTATGTGTCCTTCAAGGTGAATCACATTTGATGTGAAGAGGTTGAGTTTTTAAAAGTGAATGATAGCTGCTACCTGGGGAATAAGGAGTAGGATGGACTTAAAATGGGACAGGAAGGGATGAAGGGGAAAATTACATTATTTTCTAGATCTCTAGTATCTGCCTCTTCTATTGAGGAATAGTCTTGTTGTGTCTGGTACAGTTGTGTCATCAGGCCACAGGAAATCTGATAAAATTTTTGTATGGACACATAGTTGCTGAACGGTCATGCAGTCTTCTGGGTACAGTCAATTAATTAAAATAAAATAGCATAAATCTAAGCTGTCAATTTATACGATTTCAACAAAAAGTCCTTTGCTATAAGGATTGGCACAATGTATCCTTAAACCCTATAAACTCATTTGCTATTAAGAGACTGACTCCCACCAATAGTCATTGATGCCACACTGGGTCTGCCTGGGATACAGTTAATCTTCTCCATAGCAGCCTATATGGTGCAGTGGTTTGAATTTGCAATTAAAGCAGTGTTGATAACCCAACAGTGTTTTGGCTATTGCTGAGTGATGGTTGCACAGTGTACTGGATTTTTCTCCCACTCTGCCCCTCCTCCCTTCGTGGAGGTAGACTTTGTTTGGAGATTGGATGGGCATGGGTCTGCTTGGGGAAGTGGTGAGTAATTGTCTTTGCATTGCTTCTGTTGTTTGGGTTTTGTTTTGGTTTTAAATTCCTATTTCCTTCACTTATTAAACTGTCTTATCCTCACCCACAAATTGGCTTGCCTTATTTTGCTCTTCTCACATCTGACTGAGGGGGATGAGCAAGTGTCTGTGAGGGGCTTAGCCGCTGGCTGGAGTCAACCTGCCATTTACAGAATTCCATACTTCTTGCAGATCCTGCCTTAAAATTTCTCTATGCAGTGCTTTTACAAATCTCTTGCATCTCCTCAAGCTTTTGGGCTATAGGTCCTCTTGCTCAAGGAATGGTCAGTGAGTAGGGATGGGAGTCTACCTCAAATGAAATAGAAGAGAAGGAAACAAACATATGCAGATACCCACTCCCATTTACTATCCAGTAGCAGCTAAAATGTTATCACGTGTGACAAAGGTATTAATAGAAAGGAATTAGGTTTTTTGTTTCTTTTATTATGTAGCAGAAAAATATATTTTACTGAAAATAGATTCAATCTCAGAAATAAAATGTTTGGTTTCTATTCTACATTCAAATAGTAGTTCAGATTACCCTTGGATTTTAAAAAAACCTAGCCATTCCTTTTATTAAAGATGTGATAATTTCTGGCAGACTGAGCTGGCAAGAATTCATCTAGTCTTGGGTAGCCATGCTTGACAATAGCTTGCTTAGATAAAATTTTTGTTTCTTAGCAATTGTGTGAGTACAGTCTAACTGTAACATGACCAGTACAGCTCAAATAGACTGATGTTGTCTGCATCAGTTTTAGTGCTATATCTTGGCTCTGTTTTCCTTTTGGTGGTGGTTAAAGCCATAGTTTCTAAAGCAGCTGAGCTGGCTTCGTGCCTTACTACTGCTGAAAGTCGTTCTTGCTCCTAGCTGTGTCCTTTCGCTAGTGCTCGTTCTGCTGTTAGTGCCGCAAGTCATTTCAGCTGAGGAACTCAGCAGAAAATTACTGCCTTCATGTGTCTGGGTTAGTTTTCTATTGAACCGTGAGCTGTTTTGTGGATGGCTTCTGTGAGTGCTGTAACTGGTGTAATACATGTGGGAGGGAGTTGGACCTTCTTCTGTAGGTGGTGGTGACCTTGTAGATCAGCTGACTCCGTCTTACAAACCACATCTTCATTTAGGTGACTACACTGACAAGGCTCTAAATGAGTCATCCCATTCAGCTTTTGAATGACTGCGACCAAAATGCAGGATTTTCAGATAATTGGAATTCAGGAGAAAATTGGATAACCCAAATGGGTCTACCAAAGATTACAGCCAACGGGAAACAGTGAATGCCACAGCTGGCTGTTTGCAGAGGTGTCTTGATCCTGGATAATAGTGAGGTTTACATAGACTTCAACTTCTATGTAAAGCCTATGGGCAAAACACCAGCCCATCTGAAGTGCACGTATACCAGTGCACACAGCATGGGTAACAAACAGGAGGAGCTTGAAGACATGATGCAACAGGAAAATTATGACGATGTGGCTATTACAGAAACATGGTGGGATGTCTCCCATCACTGGAGTGCGCCAATTGATGTCAACAAGCTCTTTAGAAGGGATAGACAAGGAAGGAGAGGCGGTGGGGTGCTGCTGTATGTCAGAGACTGTTATGATTGCTTTGAGTGCAAGTGTAGTGAAGACAGGGTGGAATGTCTTTGCATTAGAATCAAGGGGAAGGGCAACAGGGCAGATGTTATAGTGGGAGTCTACTGTAAGCCACCCACCCAGGACAGAGAGGTGGATGACATATTCTGTAGGCATTGAGGTGAAATCTCATGATCGCTTGCCCTTGTTCTTGTGGGAGACTTTAACTTCCCAGACATCTGCTGGAAATACAACACAGCAGAGCGGGACCAGTCCCGGAGATTCCTGGAACGTGTGTCAGGTAACTTCCTGACACAGCTGATGAGTGAACCGACCAGAGAAGGTGCCCTGCTGGATCTCCTGTTTTTGAACAGAGAAGGACTGGTGGATGATATGGTGGTTGGAGGCCAACCAGGGCACAGTGATCATGAAATAATTCACTGTTCTTAGGGAAGCCAGGAGAGGGGGCAGCAGAACTGCCATCCTGGACTTCCAAAGGGCTGCCTTTGTCTTGTGTGGGCACCTCCTTGACAGAATCCCTTGGGAGATGGTCCTGAAGGGTATAGGGGTCCAGGAAGGCTGGGCCTTCTTTAAGAAGGAAGTGTTAATGGCTCAGGTGGTCCCCAGGTGCTGTAAGAGAAGCCGGAGACAGAGAAGGCCACCCTGGCTGAACAGGGAGCTTTGGCTGCAACTCGGGGAGAAAAGGAGAGTTTACAGCTCTTGGAAGAAGGGGCTAGCCACACACAGTGATTACAGAGATGCTGTGAGTCTATGCAGGGCAGAAATCAGGAGGTCTAAAGCCCAGCTGGAAATTAATCTGGCTTCAGCAATCAAGGACAACAAGAAATATTTCTGTATGTACGTGAGCAGCAAAAGAAGACCAGGGAGAGTCTCCATCCCCTGCCTGATGCAGGAGGAAACATGGTAACAAGTGATGAGGAGAAGGCTGAGGTGCTTAATGCCTTCTTTGCCTCAATCTTTAATAGCAAGACTAGTTGTATTGATGAAATCCAGCCTCCACAGCCAGAAGACAGAGACTGGGAGAAGGACCCCCGCGCAATCCAGGAGGAGACAGTCAGTGACCTACTGCATCACACAGACACACACAAGTCTATGGGACCGGATGGGATACACCCAAGAGTGCTGAAGGAGCTGGCTGGGGTGCTTGCCAAGCTGCTTTCCGTCATTTACCAGCAGTCCTGGCTGACCAGGGAGGTCCCGACTGATTGGAAATTGGCCAGTGTGATACTTATATATAAGAAGGGACGGAAGGGTGATCTGGTAAATTACAGGCCTGTCAGCTTGACTTCGGTGCCCGGGAAACTGATGGAGCAGCTTGTCCTGAGTGCCATCACACAATACATGAGGGACAACCAGATGCTCAGGCCCAGTCAGCATGGGTTTATGAAAGGCAGGTCCTGCCTGACAAACCTGATCTCCTTCTACGACAAGCCGACCTGCTTATTGGATGAGGGAAAGGCTGTGGATGTTGCCTACCTTGATTTAGCAAGGCCTTTGACACTGTTTCCCACAGCATTCTCCTGGCAAAAACGGCTGCTTGTGGCTTGGATGGGCACATGCTTTGCTGGGTAAAAAAATGGTTGGGTGGCTGGGCCCAAAGAGTTGTGGTGAAGGGAGTTAAATCCAGTTGGCTGCAGGTCACGAGTGGTGTCCCCCAGGGGACATGTTTAACATCTTTATTGATGATTTAGACGAGGGGATCGAGTGCACCCTCAGTAAGTTCGCAGATGACACCACGTTGAGTGGGAGTGTTGATCTGCTCGAGGGTAGGGAGGCTCTGCAGAGAGACCTGGACAGGCTGGAGCCATGGGCTGAGGCCAACTGCAGGAGTTTCCATAAGGCCAAATGCCGGGGGCTGCCCTTGGGCCACAACAACCCCCAGCAGCACTACAGGCTTGGGGAGGAGTGGCTGGAGAGCTGCCAGTCAGAGAGGGACCTGGGGGTGTTGATTGACAGCCGGCTGAACAGGAGCCAGCAGTGTGCCCAGGGGGCCAAGAAGGCCAATGGCATCCTGGCTTGTGTCAGCACTAGCGTGGCCAGCAGGGACAGGGAAGGGATCTGACCCCTGTACTCGGCACTGGTGAGGCTGCACCTCGATTCCTGTGTTCAGTTTTGGGCCCCTCACTCCAAAAAGGACATTGAATGACTCGAGCGTGTCCAGAGAAGGGCAACGCAGCTGGTGCAGGGTCTGGAGCACAGGTCATACGAGGAGCGGAGCGGCTGAGGGAACTGGGGGTGTTTAGTCTGAAGAAGAGGAGGCTGAGGGGAGACCTCATCGCCCTCTACAGCTCCCTGAAAGGAGGGTGCAGAGAGCTGGGGATGAGTCTCTTTAACCAAGTAGTAAGTGATAGGACAAGAGGGAATGGCCTCAAGTTGCCCCAGGGAAGATTTAGACTGGATATTAGGAAGCATTTCTTTCCAGAAGGGGTTGTTAGGCGTTGGAATGGGCTGCCCAGGGAGGTGGTGGAGTCCCCATCCCTGGAGGTGTTTAAGAGTCGGGTTGACATAGCGCTGAGGGATCTGGGGTAGTTGGGAACTGTCAGTGTTGGGTTAATGGTTGAACTGGATGATCTTCAAGACCTTTTCAAGGTCTAGACAATTCTGTGATTCTAGGAAATTAATAGGAAGTGAATGCCCTAAGGGCCTTATGACCTGCTTTCAGCTTTGGTTTCAAACTAATGACTGGTTCTTTCATTTTAAAAAATGTGCTGTTTTCTGTGACTTGCAGATTTCAACTTTTATTGTTTTCATTGTAGAGTATGTAGCAAAGACTATTAAAATATTAATATTTCCAGCCCTTTCACAGCTCTGGATGTGTGGATATAACTGTTGTGGACTTTCTTTATTTTGCAGTTGCTGCGGGAGCTCAAGCATCCAAATGTTATTTCTCTGCAAAAGGTGTTTCTTTCTCATGCTGACAGGAAAGTGTGGCTTCTCTTTGACTACGCTGAGCATGACCTCTGGGTAAGGTGAATTGTTTGTAGGTACCAGGCTTAGAGTTTTAGAACTCTAGGTGCAGAAAAGGGACAAGGTCAGGGATTTAAAAACTGTATAGCCTCTTACTCCATGTTTGTTGGAAGCATTTTCAGTACTAAAGGAAAAGCAATGGAAAATGTTGGGTAAGCACACTACACAGTTAATCTGTGACCTGTTTAAGAAGATAAAAATCTGCATTCAGCTCTCACTAGCTAGAAACCTAGTTAAATAAATGTAGATATAACCCTCCATTATATCTGAAGTAGGGTGCAGGAAAATGTAACTGATTATGCAGGTGGTTTCCCTTTGAAAAATGAGAAACATAATGGCTGAATGGAAGAGTTTGGAGTTTTAGGTACATTGAGTGTCATCCATGAATACATGAAGTGAGAGTAATGTCACTGTAATATAATTGAAATTTAATTCATGTGTTTCAGTGTGAAGAGATTTTTACTCAGTTCATCTGCTGAGATTTCGTGTATTTGGGAGGAAGGATGTTTATTCCTAATTTAGGAATAGTTTTAGAATATAAGCATGTTGGAGGCGATGTAAATTTGTTATTATATACCCTTTTCCTCTGTTAATATTTGTAAACTTAAGATCCATTTGGAATACTCAAAACTAAAGTATCATTATAAAGAATCCAAAATACCATTCAACCTTTCCCTGAAAAAGGTATGTGTGTGCCTTGACTTAAATGTGACATATGTTTTGAGCATTGCTTTCAATGGAACAGAGATTGTAATACTAATCTTAAAAGTTACTAAGCAGATTCAGATCAAAGGGTACGACAGAGGCAATTTGGAATAAGATGGAAATTTTGATGTATGCGTTCATGTAAGAATTGCTCAGTATGAATCATCAGTTAGTTTTTCCTCACATGCAGTTTAGGCAGACAGCACAAACCAAAGTAAAACTATTTTCTTTTGAAAATGCTGTTCCTTATAGTTGGGAATAGTTCAGCAGTATTTGCCTAGTAACTAGTTTCTTCAACTAAGCTGAATTTAAGATATTTTCTCCCCATTAAATGTCTTGGAAGTTCTGATACTTGGTGTTGAGAATTTGTTACCAAAATAAAATTAAAGGAAAAAAAATCACTGAATAGCTGAAATGCTGAGACATTCTAAATGCTGATGTACAAAAAACAAAACGAAAAAGACGTGAGGAAATGGAGTACAGGGTGTTTTTTTTGATGTGAGAAAAGACTAAGCACATTCTTTTTCACTTCTGCCCCATATTTATGATATGCTAAGCTACAGAAGCTTAGGAATGCTTGAGTTTTTTGAGGTTTTCGGTTTCAAAATGTGCTGCAAGGCTTTGTATTTGTTTGGATGATTGTGACTAGTAGTGACCTGTCCTTGTTTGTATTTATACGTTTCTGCATTGCTTCATACTTAAGCAGAATCACTGCAGAAGCACTTCTGTTAATGAAACACTGGCTTGTATATAAGTAACTTAGGAATGACCCTCAATTTTGAGCTACATGTTTACATGCACATGCCCATATAAACTTCAGAACTCCTCAGCCATACCAGCTCCTGGTTGTTCACTGTAGTGACGGCTGGCCCCACAGAGCCAGCTATGGACCAAGTCCTCCAGCGCTGAGCATACCTAGCACAGCAGGTCTCAAACAAGGCTGGGAAAAGGGCACAGACTGCATTAGAGAAGGAACAAAAAAGGCCACGAGAGTCATCTGTATTTTGATCTGTCTCTGAAGATTTACTTCTCTCTGGCTGCTGCATGAAAAATAACAATTGCTTTGGAAGCAAAGCAACTGTGGAAGTGGGAGGCGAGAGGAGGCGAAACTTGTTGCTCAGGCTGAGGGATGTTTGTGCATGTAGTTCTTGACTGACTGGGAAGGGACTGTTAGCTTTCATCAGCGTTTGTCTCTTGTGTGCAGCTCCATTTTTACTTCTGGCAGGGCAGGGATGTGCCTTTTCCTCTCAGGAAAGCCAAGCTCGACCCCTGAAGCAGGCTATATGGAGATGGGCTGCAGCAAGAGAAGAAACGCAATTTCCCAAAAGGGTTTGAGTAGTTGGGTACCTAATTGGCACCTGGAAAGGTCAGGAGCATAGGAAGAACACATCTTAGAAGTTTGGTGCCAGGTTTTGAATGGACAAGATCAGGGCTGTTTCAGTGATCACACAAATGCAAGCCATTACAGAAAATAAGTGTGAATGTATGGAAAAGGTTGTTCCAGAAATCACCTCTCTCAAAAGGAAGCAAACATAGAAATGGTTGCCATGACCATGGCACACCTTATGCTATTGAAGTTAATGGCACCTGGGACTCGAGTGCATATCCTTTTGGAGTCCTCACTGTTGCTAGATGTCATTGCCTGTGTATACACATATAATGAAAGGTTTTTTCTGTGTCTGACTCTCTTATGGACAGATTTATAGCTTTGCTCTGTCAACAGCTTCTGTTCTGAGAGGACTGTGCTTTAAGGGTATAGTAAATACAGAAGGAATAAATCTGGGCTTCTGATTTAAATGTTTAAAACTCCCAATACAGTTTGCAAGAATTTCTGTCTGGCATTAGGTATTGAATAGTCCAGTGTCGTCATTACTGTAGGAGAAAACCTGTCTACTGTAGGAGAAAACTCCTTATATACAGTTAGGTAATGCACTTTTAATGATGTGCTGTTATACACAAGATATCAGTTCTGTCTTAAAAAAATGAACCCCCAAACAAAAATACCCCTAAAACCTCCAAGATCAGTGAATTGCAAGGGAATTTGCTGAGGAAATTGCGTTGGTTTTGTATTTCTCATCCCGCTGTGAGAGGCTAAGCAAGTGGCTGTGTGGAGCTTATCTGCCTGCCAGGGTTAAGCCACAGCAACAACCGATTTTATTTTTGAGAGATTTCCTTGGAAAGTGTTCACTTTACCTCATATAGTATTAATTTTCTAGTACTTAAGATACATGTTTCTAGTTTTGAATATGAATTATGAAAGGTTGAAAAAAACCTAAGAAGTCTGTGTAAGAAATTGCTGGCAATCTTTTTGTGTAATGCTGTACATCAAAATATTAACAGTTTTTTATTTTGATTTCTTTTTCCCCTTTGCAGCATATAATCAAGTTTCACAGGGCTTCTAAAGCAAACAAGAAACCAGTTCAGTTACCTCGGGGAATGGTGAAGTCACTGTTATATCAGATCCTAGATGGTATTCACTACCTGCATGCTAACTGGGTGTTACACAGGGATTTGGTAAGTGGATCTGCAATGGGTTTTAGCACTGGGATGATGATTGAGGGCAAGGATTGTTTTTATAAAAAAACACTGGGAAACAAAAACCTTTGTGCTAAGGGCATGTACTAATAAATATATATTTTTGTACTGCAGTCAGCTTTGACTAGTAGAGCGACTTTTAAAAGCTGGCTGTGATCTGATATGCTTATGACAGCAAAGTATATCAGATGGCTGTTTTCCTTCTTTTTATTTTTCTAAACTATTTTTAAAAGTGTTCATTTAAATAACAGGCATGTTGAAGTACAGAAAATGCCTCTGGTAGTATCACTGCAGGCAAGATAAATAACTAAATATGGCATGTGTGTAGGTGGGGGAGAGGATGATTGGCTATAAGAACTGCTGAAAAAAAAATACCTAAAATTACCAGATTTACTTACGAAGGTAACTTCTGAAGGCTGTTATCTTCTCCTAATACTTATAATCTGTCAGAAATATAGCCATGCCAACTTCTGAAGACTTCTGCAAATAAACTGTTTATCCAAACTACAGTATAAGCAAAATGTTTTGAACCTGAGTTAGTGTTTCTTAACCAGCAAATTCTGTTAAATGTTTTAAATTGGTGAATCTCACCAATTCTTATATATTTGCATTTGAAATATGCCCATAACTGGCTCGGCTGGTTCTATCTGTTGTCTTAAAATCGGGTAGTTCTCCTGATCCAATTGTCTGTAACTCTGAGTTGTAGAAGTAAATTGAAAAAAAAAATGCTGTCAAAGTATGAAACTGTATATGATGCTTCTAATTACTCGCATTTCATTAGTGTGTGAGAGTATCATTAGTTTGACCTTTCATTCCCATGAGTCAGTATTACCAGTGCTATTCTATGTTTGGTGCAGTAAGTCTGGCTTCCTTATTACTCTTCCAGCGTCACTTTTTGTCTCTGAAATAGCTTTAATAGCGTTTCTGGAAATGTAATCAATGACTAGTTATTTGTTTGCTACTCTCATGCCCAATAAATGCTTTTACAGAGTGCCAGCCTCTGTTTAAATGGATGGGAAAAGATTTATCTTTGATAAATAACATTTTCAGACCTGAAATAAAAGGAAGCTTTGCTTTATTAAAATAATTGTATGGATGTTGTTTCTAATTTACTTCTGGTTTTAGAAATGGAACAAAAGCTTCAGCACTGAGGGAAAACGTCAAAAAGATTGTGGTGACTTTGTCATGACTTGTAAAATAGTGGAGCAAAACATAATGTAGAAATTTATAGTGCATGTTAGTACTTAGACACACGTTGTTTTAAACCAGAATGTAATATCTTTCTTTAACTTTCTGTCTGCAGTAGTGCTCTTCTGTATGTTTTTGAGGCATACAGAAAACAAATGACCTGTCATCAAGAATCTATTTTTCTCTGATGTCTTATTTTCTGTAGTTTCAGAAAATTTATGAATTTAAGCATAATTGAGTTTAAAAAGAAAACCATGCATGTTGTTAACTGGATGGCTCAGGAGATTGGTAATTTATTACAGAGCCTTTCACATCTAGGTCTGTAGCTCAAATACAGTTTAAGTTGGCAACTGCAAAAAACTATTACCATCTCATTTTCTGACCTATGTGAAATGAGTTGGTGGTCTCAGTCCAGCATGAAGTTTTCTTCCAGCAGAAAAACCACCATCACAATTGGCTATCTTTTGATAATCTGAGGAACAGACCAAAAGCTTGAGGCAGAGACTAAGAGGTCTTCCCACTGGAACCTTGTCAACCTGTGTTGGTGAGAATCCTAAAAAAGCTCTGCAGGGGCTGCTTGTGCTGCCTTGTCTATGGAAACCTTTGGGCTTGTTGTTTTGAAACCGTTCCGTTTGAGCTGAATTTAGAATTTAGCTGAATTTACGTGTTTCATGTAGGAGAACAGACAGAATTGTATCTGTCAGATACTTTCTTCCTTTTATCAGGGTCCCTGGAAACAGCCTAAATAACAGAAGGGATTCTACCTAGTGTTTTGTCTTAGCAAGACAGGGGCATATTGGTGCAAAGTTAGGCTTGCAAGCTGGGACTTCAACAGGACGTATATTCTGGTCCAGAGCAAAATAACTGATGTTAATGCTTGTTCTTAGATGTAGTTTCTATTCCAGATACCTGTAATATTACCCTTCAGGAATATCAATGTTAAATCATCAATTTTAACTCCTAATTGGATGGCTGGACAGATATATTATATTTCTCCTACTCTGCCTTTAAACTCATAGGTGTTGCTGTAGTTTCTAAATATTTTTTGTTTCTCTAGATTCAGATGTGTATGGATAAACACACAGAGTTGCTTGCTTTCATTTCATATATTAGCTGTTACAAGAGTGATGGTGCTTGGGGGTGATAGGAAGCTAAAGAATATAGTACTCTGACAGAAAAATCTGTTTTTTGCTACATCTCTCAATAGGATAAGGATTTTTTTAAGAGTAAGAAAGCTGTCTTGGGAAAATAATTATCTTCCATCTAAGTACAATTTTCTGGTTTGGGTTTTTTTTTTAAGATTTTTTAATTAAGTTATTTTTTAGGTGAGTAATGTTTTGGAGTTTTTGAGATCTTGAGTTCTGTAATCAGAAACAAAATACAGCATACAGTAACTCATTTCTTGCTAGTATCCACAAAGCAGACAGTAAAACTTAATGGATATTAAAATCACATAAACCTAGACTGAAGTTGTCTTTCATAATGGTGGGATTGAGGAATCTTAATTCTGTAAGATTTGTATAAAGGGAGTACATTCTGTATGAAATAGTAACAACTGTAGGAAGACAGTAATTGTCTATTGTGTTATTTCTAGTTATGGTTTGTCTTTTACAAAGAAAATGCATTCAAATCTCAGCAATAACTTAACTATTTAGTTAATTCTCTGCTGGTTTTTTCCTTTCACTGGGTACATGAAAGACAATTCACTATTTCCATCAGAGCAAGGGTAATGTTGATTATATTTGTTATCTTTGAATACTGCTGTGCTTGAGTAGTTAGCTTTTCCATAAATCTTTGAAACATGCCAGTAAAATTTTTCAACAAATAAATGTCAGTCTTTTTAAAACTTCTTATTTGACTTGCATATTTTTCAGCTTTTTTTAATATCATGACTGAGAGCAATTGAAAGCAGATTGTTTATTCATGCTCTGACTGTAGCAGGAAGGAAATAAGAACACTTCATGTAATTACCACAAAATGCATCAATTACAATTTTAATAATATTTTGAATTTAGTTATCAAGCATGCTTGAAACATACAGTATTTTGCTGCCTTCTTTTCCTAGTATTTTTTCTACTTTGATATGCAGCTATTGGACTTCATCCTTTACTCAAAGTTCCTATTCCACACTAAAAATAAGCATAAGCAGAGGACTGGCCATAGATGTGTTTTCATCAATCTGCAGCCTCAACAGCAAGAGAAAAGGAAAGATGGACTTTGCAGCACACTTGGAAGATTTCAAGTAATGGGATTAAAATAGAGGTCCCTTAGCATGGTACAGCAACTTCTATGCAATGCCTGTTAGCATTTAGAAGTGCATCATTAGTATCAGTTTGCAGGATCCTCTGTCAGCTAAGTGATTTGGTAACATCACCCCTCCACAGGTTTTGTGTGGTGACAGTAAGACTAGTCTGCAATTTAAATTAAAAATAAATTTTGCACTGAAACTATTTGAAGTGCTTATGTGGTGCAGCAATGCTTACAAACATACCACCACCCCATAAAAAAAAACCAAAACACAACAAAAACAAAACCCAAAAAAACCCCACCCCCAAACAAAACAAAACAACAAAAAAAGAGGAAATCTCAACAGCTCTTCCTTGTAGTACTGCAAGTTGAGACACTGTGATGAAACATTTTTTGTTCCCAAATTTTCAGACTAAATTCCCTGGCCTGTCTCTTTGTGCGGGGTGTGAGTGAGTGCTAAACAGATGAATTGCATTTGGCAAGCCAGGTATGGAAGTGGGTAACACAGTGCTGGGCTCCTGCTTCCCATTTCTCTCCTCCTATCTCTTGCCGAAGAAATTACAGTCTCATAGCCTTTTTCAATAACATCCATGTCCTAGTTAGTCTGGGATTGTGTTGCTGTGGATGTGACTGATTGCAAATTAGCGCTAGCACAGGATACCGCAGCCTAATGTGTTTCTAGTGTGCAGCTCAGCTAAACTGCTGCTGTGGGATGAACACTTGTTTTAATAAGCTTTCAGGTGGACAAGCTTTAATACAGTTGGAATGCTGCTTCCTGGGACCTGGACTCTTCCCAAGGATACCTGCTGCTATGTTTGGGATTAGTTGGAACATTAAAGTTGCTCTTCTAACAATAAATGAGGAGTAACCACTGTCAGGGTGTTTTTTTGTTGACAACATCTTAGTCACTTTCCAGGCTCTGGCTGTGAATCACTTAAGTTAACTATATGGAACTTTTACCCTGGTAATTTACCATTTTCCATATTAGTGCTCTTAAATCAAAAAATGTATGCCTTGCCAATACTCAAGAATTACTTCAGAAATACAGAAATGCCCTTTGATCCTGCTCTAGTGTTGACAAAACTGTGGTCATTTGAAGGAATGAATGTAAATGCTTAAATGGTAGGAAAAGCTGTGCATAATACTAGAAAAGTTAGCAGCTTTAAAAAGCAGGGTGCCCTTCTACACTGTTTAAGGATATGAACAGATAATAGGCATTATTTCCTAAAAAATACTGACATGACTTACTGGTCATTTGCTTTCAAAGGAGAAAAAAAACCTCAGTCCAAACCCAGTCACTGTTTTGGTTGTCAGCAGCTGCAGTTGCATTTCCCAAGATTTTTGTTTCCAAGGCATTTTTCATTATGTAAGTGCGTGATTTCATGAGATCACAAAAGAACAGTGTGTCCGGCAGAACCTTGTTTTCTTGCATAGGCTGTTATGACATGCTTTCCTGTGAATTGTAATTTACTATAATTCTAAATATTCTATAGTTAAAATAACATTATGTATTGTTTCTTAATGCTCCTGTTTACAGGGAACAT